GGCCTTTAATTATATACTGGGAAATAGTATGATTTGCCACACGTGGATTCCGAGGAGATATCATACCCGCTCCACGCCATGACCTCACAACAAAATCTCGTTTACAAAGATAGTGCTCTTCATCGATAGCATGGTGCAAATCATACAGATTCCAAACAATTGGGCCACATTCGTTCTTGTCTGTATCTACGTCGCCATTCGCAATCCGCCGAGCTGCAGTGCGCGATTGTTGTGCCGGCCGCACAAATCGTTGTGAAGGAGCTGGCATACCAGGACATGCAACCCCTGCAAATCCGGTTGCCTTAACAACGTGTAGGCATATCCCAACTTTCTTATAGCACAGAAATAAACACGTGCGTGCAGTAGCATCAACAATCTATCCCCTGACGGGCATGTTGACCCAGCTTATTCTAGCGTAGTTTATGGCCTCGTCTATTTTTACTTTTACAGCAGTAGGGTGGACAAATTCTCCTGGTTCTTGTGATGAACTCGTGGGAAGCGGAGATGGTGCGACACGAACCAAAACTAAATTGTTGTATCGGTGAATCAATTCTGCAGTCATGACCTTTTAATTAATCCTCCTGTGAGTAGCCAGTAAACGTTTGGATACAGTAGGCTGATCGCAAAAGGGTTGCATCGAGGAGATAAACGAAATTCGTGACAAATCCAGGCGGACTACAAGCTCTGCTGGGCTAGCCCGTTTGCTGTCATTCACAAGCTTTAAGGTGTAGTGGTACTGCTCAAGCGGGTTGTTAGTAGCCGCGTAGCCTGTGGGGGTATGAAAAGCTTGCCAGTGCGAAAAGCGGGCTTTAATTATCCACTGCGAAATAATGTGATTTGCCACACGTCGAAACCGAGGATATACTACCGGTCCAGCACCTGAACCTCAACAACAAATTCTGCTCTAACAGAGTGGAGTGTTTCTCCGTGGTAGAGCTTGAGGAACAATTCTACACAGTTTTCGCGGAAATTGGGCCCACTGTCTTTCTTGTTCTATATTTGACTCGACCTTTGACAATCCCCCGAGAGAAAATAGGTGCGTGTTTTTTGTGCCGCCCGCACATATCGTTGTGAAGGAGCTGGCATACCAGGACATGCAACCCCTGCAAATCCGGTTGCCTTAACAACGTGTAGGCATATCCCAACTTTCTTATAGCACAGACATAAACACGTGCGTGCAGTAGCATCAACAATCTATCCACCGACGGGCATGTTGAACCAGCTTATTCTAGCCTAGGTTTTGGCCTCGTCTTTTTTACTTTTGCAGCAGTAGGGTGAACAAATTCTCCTGGTTCTTGTGATGAACTCGTGGGAAGTGGAGATGGTGCGACACGAACCAAAACTAAATTGTTGTATCGGTGAGCCAATTCTGCAGTCATGACCTTTTAATTAATCCTCCTGTGAGTAGCCAGTAAACGTCTGGATACAGTAGGCTGATCGCAAAAGGGTTGCATCGAGGAGATAAACGAAATTCGTGACAAATCCAGGCGGACTACAAGCTCTGCCGGGCTAGCCCGTTTGCTGTCATTCACAAGCTTTAAGGTGTAGTGGTACTGCGCAAGCGGGTTGTTAGTAGCCGCGTAGCCTGTGGGGGTATGAAAAGCTTGCCAGTGCGAAAAGCGGGCTTTAATTATCCACTGCGAAATAATGTGATTTGTCACACGTCGAAACCGAGGAGATATCATACCCGCTCCACGCCATGACCTCACAACAAAATCTCGTTTACGAAGATAGTGTCAGCCGAACGCTAAAGCCGAATGAGCTGAATTACGGAGCGGTGGAGAAGGAGATACTCGCGCTCCTGCGCGTGTTGGATCTCAATTACAACCTGCTGGTGGGAAGATCCATCCGGATCCTGACTCGTGGG